ATTCTGAAAGAACCATGTTCTAAATCTAAACTAATCTCAGAAGACTAAGTTGACAAACAAAAGCACAAAAGATTCTACTTCTATTGAAGACCCCTTTTAAATTATCTATAATGCCTCTTAGCACTCACACAAACTTCCTAGCCAACCTTGATCCAAAAGAGGCCACTCAAAGGAGAGCAGGACCTGCTTAGCACCTTAGGTTCTATGTGGTCTTCAGTCTTTGGTAAAATAGTTAATTTTCACAATTCATTTGAGTGATGGAATTTGGGCCAAGAAATGAGGAGGTAATCTTCACTCCTACACAAGAGCATTAACCTTAATCATTAAATCTGAAAGATATCCTCTAGGCTATATCACCCACAGGTCAAAAAAATCTATATCACCCACAGGTCAAAGAAGGGTCCTTAACAACCAGACTGTTTCTTTTCAGATACCCAGTGGACTTAAGAACAGTGACTGGAACATAAAATGCTTCACATCCCACTGCCAGTTTGAATCCTGAGACAGCAGTGAAGTTATTCATGAAGGGCTACTCACCAAGGTCTCAAAACCTCTTCACTACAAGACACAATATACACTTGAACTTCAAGGCTGCAAATACTTGTAAACTTCCCAAAATAAAATCCTCTCCTCATCTCTTCACTTGGCCTTCTCTGAAAGAGCTTAAGAATAAGGATTTTTTGATCTCCACCAAAAAATACTGGCTCCAGAACAGTGCCCAGAGACACAACCTGCATAAGTATCTTATTGGAATCATGCTGATGGCTGACAAAGGAATAATTTTTTTTTTTAAGATCAATTTTGGTCTACCTAGGCAGCCACCTTTAAGAGCACCTCTTAAAACACAGCTTACCTTGTAATTGCTAGAGTTCACCCAAGAGGTAGCAAGTCCATCCACAAGCTTATCTAACATGGTCTGGTCATGCTCAAGGTCAGCAGACTTCTGTTTATCTGAGAAATAGTCTATAAGTTCTTGGCCAACCTGCAGTCGTTTGCCCACATCCTTTTGCAACACCTGGGCCAGGCAGGCCTCCATGCGAGGCTCCATGGTGGAATTCAAATCCAGATCCAGCAAAAGCTAGAGGGCAGTCAGGATGACTCCCTCCCGGTAGCCAAGCCCGGGAGGTGGCCTCTTTGTTCGCTGAAGGTTACTAAGAGCCTGTGTTTCAAAGATGCAATCCGGGGAATGGCAACAATGCACCATGTGTGTCTGAAGAGCAGCTGGCAGGATATTAAAAGTCCAATTTAAATAACTAGTAGGAGATAAAGAAGTGAGCGGCGGAGTGTTCTACTACGGAGTCTGAAATACTTCATAATTCAGCAGTCCATTCTGAAAAGAGAGGAGAACAACAAATCAGCACAGAGAGTATAACATTCAAATATTATTAAACATGAAATCAAAGACAAAGAAATTCACATTACAGAATGGTTTATAATCACATGTGCTATGTGAGCATGAATGCTTGGCAAATCTACCAGAAAAACAAAATTATTATTTTTATGAAGAACGTCAAAACCCAAAGGAAAGAGCCAATGAAGTTGATATTCTTCACAATTTCACAAATTATAAATGTACTAGTCAGAAAAGCAATCTTCTGCTGTGGCTAGCATTTGTTGCTTAAATTCTGCTTCCCATCAAAAACCCTAACACCACTCTATGAATCACTATAGATATTAAAGCTTAGTAAGATGTTGCCTTACTAGCAGTCTTCCAAAAATCTAAGTAGTAGAAGAGGAGCGGACATCACAGAAAAATCAAAGGCCAAGTGTCCAGGTGGGTCACATTAGCCAAAGTCACTCAGCACCTACATCAAAATTCTTGCTTTTTCTCTTTCCTCCTTCAACAATTAAAAAAAAAAAAGGGAGACAAAGGAGAAAAAGCAAATAGGTTCATGTTCTGTTCAGTTACTGACACAGTATTCTCTGTTGATGATTGCATTTGAGTCTGGTGTTCTGTTTATAAAATCAGCTCTCAAAAATCAGGTTTGTTTGAAGCCCAGGACATGAGGTAACTGGGTTTTGTAATACTGGGGAGCAAATCCAGGGCCTTATGTATGTTAGACAAGTGCTCTATCAATGAACTAACCCCTCCAGCCCCAAATTTGTTTTAACTTGACAAATTATATATACAAGCTGTCTGGTTAACCTGTTGCTGCTAAAACAAATATACACATGTGTCTTGTTTCAATATCTTCTCTCCTAAAAAACTTACTCAATCCTTCTCATTCTAAACTAGGAAGACCCAAAAAAAACTTAATTTCAAGATGCAATACCTCCCTGATGGTAAATAGAAATATTCTTGATACTAACAAACCCCAGTCCTGAGGTTCTAGCAGATAAATTTGTCCTATAGTCAAATAAGTATAAATTTTTATGTAATGTAACTTTTCTAGTATGAATATTGTCATTCTCCTCTTTCCTAGTCCCAGCCCATCACTAATTTCAACATAAAAAAGATGATAGTCTTCCAAATTATAGAATCATAGACTTTAAGGAGAGTATCTTGCTATGTAAGTCACATTGTCCTTGATTCCCAGTCCTTCTGCCTCAGCCTCTGAAATGCAAGGATTATAAGGACACACTATCACACTTGCCTTAGAATCATATATTTTTGATACAAATAAGAATCACGTAAATCAAGTCACACAACAAGAAGCACCCTTCTTTTTTTTCTTTTTTTTTCCGGTCCGGTCGTGGGGCCTGAACTCTGGGCCTGGGCGCTGTCCCTCAGCTCTTCAGCTCAAGGCTAGTGCTCTACCACTTGAGCCACAGCGCCATGTCCAGCTTATTTTTGCTTGTGTGGTGCTGAGGAATCGAACCCAGGGCCTCATGCATGCAAGGCAAGCACTCTACCACTGAGCCACCTTCCCAGCCTCAAGAAGCACCCTTCTTCAAAGCCCCAGCACATGACTACTCATTTTTTATTGAATGGTCTTAAATCCATGCTGGGGGCCTGGGGAGGGAAGGAAGGCATTCAACAAGACTCATAATCTCACAGAGCAATCCTTCCTCAAACTAAAAAGCTATCTGCTTTCTGATCATTTCCACACTCTGGCAACAAGTAGGCCAGAAAGAAAACATGCACAAAGCAATTTTCAGCTGGGAACAGGTAGTTCATACCTGTAACCCTAGCTACGCAAAAAGGTGAGAACTGAGGATCAAGGTTCAAAGCCAGTCCAGGCAGGAAACATCCATGAGATATTTTCTCCAATTGATCACCAGTAGTTCAGAAGTAGATGTGTGGCTCAAACAGTAGAGCACCAGCCTTGAACAAACAAACTAAAGAACAACACCCAGGCTCTGAGTTCAAGCCCCAGTATGCCCAGTATGCCCAGTATGTATGTACACACAATGCACAATACACAACACACATATATACACACATACATACATGTACACATACCCAAAGGTATTTTAATAAGAAATTATTACTCTTCCTTTCTTATACTGGATAGTATCAATGACATGGGAAAACTGAAAAAAAAAATCAATAGGCATCAGGTTTATAGTGTATAAATTCTCTGCTACTCTTCCTTGGCCAGATTAATTCTGTCTCTTCTAAGAGACTTTGGACTTCCCTGGGAAGTAAGCAGAAACTTGACTTGTAATCGCGAGGGCTGGTTCTCTTACAATGTCACCCTAGGGCTACCATGTTGTAAAGAAGCTGGTCTAGAACTTAAACATGAAAAGTCACGTTGAAGGAACCAACAGGCTCCAACCTACAGCCAACATCATGACCACCATCTAGTTAGCTGTGTAAGTGAAAGTCTAAAAAGCAAGCAGATAAACTAGATGTTGGTAGCTCATGCCTATAATCCTAGCTACTCAGGACACAGATTTGAGCCAGCTACAGTAGACTAACCCACAAGACTCATCTCCAAATTAACCAAAACACAGAAGTAAAGGAGGGGCGCCAAACTAGATTGTGTGTGTGGGTGTATGTGCCTGATTTCAAGCCTTAACACACACACACACACACACACACACACACACACACACACACCCTCCCAAGCAAGCAAATTACCCAAATTACGGAAATAATATTTCGTTATTGTTTTAAACACTATAATGATTTGTTATTTTGATAACTTTCAGCCACTATGGAAAGAATCATATTTTAATACCTCTACATCTTTTACTCCTTTAGACCTTTTGGTATAAAATCAACAGACATTATCCAATTATGATAACAATGCCATTTTATTTTTTTATTTTTTTTAGTGATGATGAATTTTTTTTATTTTTTTTTATTTTTTTTATTGTAAAGATACTATACAGAGGGTTACAGTTACATGAGTGAGGTAATGAGTACACTTCCTCTTGAACATTGTTACCCCCTCCATTAACAACGCCATTTTAAAGCCTCTAGATGAGATGTTAGATTTTATGCTAGGTAATTTATATATACTGCTTCTAGTTTATTAACAAACTCCATAAAATAAGTGTGTAAACTTCCCCTCCCGCTTTTTGAGACAGGGCTGTTGTTCTATAAAGGTTCCTCTGTTATTGTCCACTTTCCAGGGAGTTCTAAAGGAGAATGACCAGGACCATCATCATGGCCTTTTGATGTTTTGCCCTAAAGACCAAGACACTGTGTGGAAGTAGGTTCATAGCATTTATAGATGAAGAAACTCAAGAAAACTAAGAGTAAGTAGTTTTATAAGGATGCAACCTCCTCAAACCCTTATTAGAAATCTGGCCTACTTCTGTTCTAACTGAGAAAGGAGGTCAGACTTCATGCTTAGCTAGAAAGCAACAACAAAATCTCCATATTCCTTAAATAAACACTGAGAAAGACCTCATTCATAAGAAAATCTCCCCTCAGTCCCTGTATATAGTTCAGTAGTAAAAAGATTACCTAATATGTAGGAGGCTGTGGGTTCAAGTCCCAGCACAAAAGAGAAAGGGGGTGGGGAAAGAAAAAGAAAACCTCTTCTTCAACTAGAATTGTGTAAGAGTTTTAACAAATAAGCCAGGCACTGGTGGCTCACACCTATAATTCTAGCTACTCAGGAGGCTGAGATTTTGGAATTAGGCTTAAAGCTAGCCTGGGCAAGAAAGTTCACTAGGCTCTTATGTTCAATTATCAATGGAAGAGTGCCAGCCTTGAGTGAAAAAAGCTAAGCTGCAGTATTGGAGGGGGGAGAGGGAAGGGAGGGGAGGAGGAAGGGGGGGGGGAGTTAACAAATAAGATGGTGCTTCTGAAAGGTAATTATATAATAAAGGCTTAGCAAAATCAAAAGATCACAAAAGCTCTATGTACAAAACCCATAAAATCAAAGAGACTGGAAGCCTTAGACACTAAGAAGAGTTTTTGATTTTGTAAAAAAAAATTAAGTAGCTGACCATCTTCTCTTAAACTTATTTTTATTGAACTATTGTTTTTGTATGTTTTCCCATGGTTTTGAGTATTTTCTTGAACTCTGCTTTTGAAAGTATTCAGGGAATATTAATTACATGTGGTTCCAAATCTTCCAGGTGCAAGAGTGCAAGGTCTGCCTCCCACCTACTCTCTCAAATGTCCCTCCCTAAAAGAAGTATTGTCATTCTTATGTAACCTATGTGGGGGGGGGGAGAGGAATTAGTTATATAACAAGTACTACATGTGTTCTCTTCACCCTATCTCCAAGCCTGTAATACTAGCTACTCAGAAGGCTAAGACCTGAGGATAACAGTTCAAAACCAGATTGGACAAGAAAGTACATAAGACTAACTAACCACAAAGGCTGGTAGGAGAGCTGGGGCCCAAGTGGTAGTGCTAGCCTTGAGCACAAAAACTTAAGGAAAGCACCTATGCACAGAGTTCAACCCCCTGAACCAGAAAAAAAAAAAAAGTGCCCATCTCCATCCCCTTAAATACCATACTAGCCTGTGGTTCTTAGGTATACTATTAATAAGGAAATATTAAGAAGAGGGGGGAAAAGCACCAACTATAAGTTCTGTAACGTCTTAGTTAATTCTCCTAAGAGAAGTCAAAGTAAGACCCATTTGTGAGCTAGAGATGTAACTAAGGGGTAGACGTCTAACAAGTATGACAAACTAAGTTTAATCTCAATACTGTTCTCCCCCAAAAAGGATTGTTTTCATGCTCATTTAGTAGCTTAAAACAATGATGACAATGACGGTATTGATGGTGTTTCCATGTGAGTCTATGGGTTGCCTGCACTCAGCTAGGAGACTCCCGCTCTAGTGTTGTCTGGGGTCATTCATGTGGCTGTAGTCTATGGCTGAAAAGTATGATGGCATCACTCACATGTTGCTGGCTGCTGGTTAGAGCCATCTTATCACGATCTCCAACCACTCAGCAAACAGCCTGGAGATCATTACATA